AAGTCCTTTAACCCAGCAATTGATTGCCGGTAATTGTGATAGAACCGAAAGCAATTATCCCCGATTCCCTAGCACTTTAATCATTCAGAGAATTTATTTGCCATTTACTTTCATTTAATTTAGTTTAAATCATTATTTGATAATTGAAACCAAAAATATTAAATTAGAGTGTTTAGGAATTTTTCTTCTCTTTTTCGTGATTGAATAAACGCACAAGAATATCCAGTTAACCTTCCTTGCGATATGACCCGGGGACGAATCTTTCGATTCTACTCCGGTAAAAATACTGACAACAAAAGACCTTTAGGTAGTCGAGCACCCGACCACTTTCTATCGCCGATCACAACCGTGCACAGCTACATCGAGATAACCCAAAAGTAATACTCATGGAAATCAAAAGGGATTTAATACCTTAATTCAGGGCTCTTAATGGCACCAAATGAGGGGGAATTCATGGTTAAAAGAGGGTTGATGGGGTTGGTCCAATGCTAACGAAAATAGCTTAGAACCAATTTGAATTTCAAACCATAAAAGGAGATAAATATTTCTAAGGCAAAGAATCACAACAAAGCTCAATAGGCTGGATTTTTGGATCACCATTGTACCAAAAATAACAAAAACTTGGGACAAAAATATATACTCAAGGTTTAGATTAAAATGACTCAAAAACGAGTCGGAACGGATAGAAAACGGTTTTACGCGATTGAACCGAAAATTTATAGAATGACTTACTAATAGAAGAATTTAATCTAAACTAAGCTAAGCACATAAAATAAAAATACAACCAATCACATAATAATATGAGTGCAAAGAAATTAGATCATCCAAGGCAATCACACAAATCGAGCAAATAATAATAGTTGAAGGTAAGCAATGATGTAATGAAATAAATGCTATTAATAACATAAAAGCAAGCAATAATAAAATAAAATACAAGTATGCAATTTATAAGTCGCGACAGGCATATAAGTATTATATTCAAGTTTTGCACATAATAGCGGTGCAACAATAAAATAAAATGCATATAAATAAAATAAAATACTAGAAATTATATCAATCGAAAGGGGCGCTACATCTTATGTGCCACCTTAAGACCATAACTTCGGCCTTTTTCCACAAGAAAAAATAGAGCCTCAATGGTTTCCAAAAGTCGCCCCCTACCCTAGAGGTTTTGGCACCATAGTTGATTTCAAATTTCAAATCAATTTAGAGCTCTTTTTGGTAAGTTTTAATCAAGTCTCTCAAGTCACAAAATCCTCCCATGACCACACGCCCCCTCCCGTTTGGGATCAGTGAGGATCTCGTTATGCACAAGTCAAGAATTCAATAGCAACAATAAACATATGCGCAGCGGATCTAGAGGTTTAGAGTTGAATACCTATGACTTAAAATTCACAGACTCTGAGACGTTGTAGATTACCGTTGAAGGAAATCGTCTGATCTCAAAATCCGTTGAGCAGCCGGATCCTTCTCGTTGGACCTCGGGAGTTGACGAGTGCACGTTGACCGGGAGCAGCACGGGATTGTCGCAGTTGGCTGCATGCGGGTCGCGACGTTGGCTGCGGCTCGCGTGCGGCTAGGCTGCAACGTCTTGCGGCTGGTCGTCGGCGGTCGACGACGGCTCACACTGGTCGACAGTGATCGACGGCGGTGGTTCCCGGGGTTGATAATATATATTGATCATGGGGTCTCAGTTACCTCGGGATCTTCCACTATATATCTCGAAAAACTATGCGTGTTGTACCGGTGCAGCAACAACAAGAAGATAAAACTCGATTATGGGACTAGAGAGAGAGAGAGGGGGTGCGACCGAACGAGTTTCACACGTTAGGTCTTTTTTGTTGTCTTCTCAATCCCATGAGCTTAATAGTGTATATATAGAGCTACAATAGGGATCCTACGGAGAATAGGATAAGGACTTCTTAAGCATTGGGCCTAACTGTGAGCCAAGCCCACTCCTCCAATACTTAAATAATATTACGGTCCACTAACATATTATTATTGCACTTCCTTTCCTATCCAAAATTATATTTGAGGCTCCAGTTATAATTACTCGATTTACTTCCCATGTTTAAGATATAATGTCTATTAATTAATTCAATTACTGATAATCAAGAATTAATTAATATATTATATTACCAAAGCTAGCACCATTCATTATATTATTATTATACCGGAACTTAATCCACCTGCAGGGTTTAGCATAACAACCTTCATGAACACACTTCGGGGATATAATCAAACTGTCGCACATGGTGACCGTAAATATTCTAACAGCACATAGTACATATAATAATATTACCCAAAATAGCAAGATGTTGACTCAGTAAATTGAATCTCACTTTCAGTGAATCAAAGTAATAGTTACCATATCAACATGCCTGCTTATATCTTATGGGTTAAGAGAACGCAATAATTAACCGAGACTTAAGTTTGTTTACGACAATCAATATAAAACAAAGTGTTACGCTTTGGGATCCCATTCAATACATAAATGTACTAGTGCAACTAATCAGTTAAGACCAACCGTACAGTTGACACTACAACCGTTCTGATGGTTTTTTCATTTCCATTTAGGTTGTGGGCCAACAATTCTTGTTTCGCAAGTAACTGATAGAATGATCTTCTGTTCACCCGATAATGACTCATTCTATCTAAGTGCAAAACAACAGAACATAGAACTTATTTAATCAAACATAATTCTCATTCAACAAAGATAAAATATAATATCATCCAAAACCAAGCTTTCAGTATATAACACCAACACCCTCCCCCTTCTTCATTCCTTTTTCAAGGTAGCTCTTTATGGTAGCTAGATTATTCATTTTGTCCCCTTTTAGGTTTGACTGATTCATTCCCAAATCATTTTTCCCATCTCTCCTTCTCACCTCATGAATCAAGATTCAAAGAAGCCAAACCACTTTAAACTCCCTCCCAAGCAATAACACTCAAATCCCCTCAAATTTCGGGCAGCCCCTTCACTGCCTTATCCCCGGCGACCAGCCGAGCAGCCGCGAGCCGCCTTGCCGTGAGCATGCACGCAACCAAGGATCTACGGGCACCACACGGAGGCCGCGCTGAGAGCCACTAGAGATCGCGCTTCACCGAGGAGGCCTAAGCGCACATAGCCGTACAACCGAGGATCACCATCTTTGAGCAAGCCAGGAAGTAAAGCCACCGCGAAGAGACTCACCGAGAGCCCAGTAAACGCACGAACTCGCAGCCGAGGAGATACGAGAGCCGCTGTTGCGCCATGTCGAGAAGGAACCGAGAGCCGAGTCGGACCTCTGTCTGCGGTGAAATCATGGGAATCCGGGAGCGGCGTGTCCAATCCTTCGACCGAGCTGTCAAATCCAATTTTTCCACCTTGCTTGTAGATTCAAGAAGAGAGGTAGAATCCTAAGCCTAATTTTAAATCTTTCTCAAGATTTATGTGCTTAAATCTTGATTAAAAATTTGAGAAAATTTTTTGAGGTTTGGTGAAAATTATGATCTTTGGAACTCTCTTTTGTTGCCTTGTTGTGTTCTAAATCGAACCTTCTTATTCCAAGAGTTTAACCACGGGCCTTGTGATTTGTATGCCTTATTATGAGGGTTGTTAAGCCTCTAAAGCCCTTGAATTTCATTTGAAAATATAGCTTCCTTGGAGAAATTAATACTTATTGAGAGAAAAACCAAGTTTTGTTAGTGCTTTATGTTGATATTTTGAGCCTTGTGTTTGAACCTTAAAATCCATGTTTTGGAACCCTTGATGTGCCTTGAAAATTTAGATCTGGACCAGGCCAGAATGCCGCCACACGCTAGGAGGTCGTCGCCCAGGCGTCGCATCGTACTCGGGCGAACAGAAACCACGCGGGCGCAACCGGGCACTGGACGCACAGGCCTTGTAGGTGCCCCACCTGACAGGCGTGCAGCGCGCAATGTGCCGCGAGCCTTGCTGCAGTTGCTACCGTCCGTGTCCGCGCGCGCCATTCCACGTGCCTCCCCGTGAATGTCCCAGCAAGCATGAGCGCGCGCAATCTACCTGTGCTAGCATGCAGTCTTGAGACCCCAACGACGTGGCACGTCCCAACATGCACGAGTGTGCACCGCGACGTCCCGTGCCAGCAGCGAGGTCCCGCGCCAGAGACCTAGGTCTCCTTGTGACCAGGGCGCAGGGCCGTGCCACAGCATGCCATGCCAGCAACGGTCACACCCGAGTAGCACCGAGCCAAGTGTCTCGAGCCATTTTCGAGGCTTGCACTTATTTTCGAGCAGAACCTTATATTTTAGCCTCGAGATCCGTTTTCGAGCTTTAAGTTACCCCTAGCCGAGAGTTTCAATATTAAGATATTTTTCACTAAGTCAAGAACCTTAAACTAATTAAATCTTTAAATTGGTAATTCATTTTCCGAAGAGAAGATAAGTTATTTATAAAAGCTTTGTTCTCAAGTATGTAGATTTCGTGGAGTCGAGCCCTCGAGCTGTGTGAGACATCTGCTTTTTCATCACAATCTCTAGTTATCAGGTGGAGATTCTATACTACAGTGTATTCATTATAAACATATGGTAATATAATCTTGCTATGTGTGTAATTGTGGGCCAGTGCACTGGCCGAGTAAGCAGTTTTTCCTTAGTGGGCCTTCAAATTAGAGGCCCAACCCACATTTAAGACATAGGGCCCGGCCCAGTACGACTCACGGGCTCAGGCCCATTTTCACAAGTCTACTTTAGTAGTAAGAAAATATGGAAAAGAAGAAAAAATGAAAAAGTGTGTGACTTGTTAATGAAAAAAATAAATAAATAAATAAACGGGGGGAAATCTGCAAATTTGTAGTTGAAAATATTTTTCGAGCAGGCTTACTCAATAGTTAACACAGGCACAGAACATATTCCGCGTCTCCAGCAACACCTTCCAAATTCCAGAGCTTCTTAATAAACAACAACAGATCTCCTTAATCTTCTCCTTTTCCTTCATTTTCATCCAACCCTAATTCCCCCCAATTTTCAACCATAAACTNCTGGCCGAGCAGGCCGAGAGGTACGAGGAGATGGTCGAGTTCATGGAGAAGGTCTCCGCGTTGCTGCCGGACAAGGAGGAGCTCACGGTAGAGGAGCGCAACCTGCTGTCCGTCGCCTACAAGAACGTCATCGGCGCCCGCCGGGCCTCGTGGCGGATCATCTCCTCCATCGAGCAGAAGGAGGAGTCGAGGGGGAACGACGACCACGTCACCACAATCAAGGGTTACAGATCCAAGATCGAGTCGGAGCTCTCCAACATCTGTGACGGCATCCTGAAGCTGCTTGACGACAGGCTCATCCCCTCCGCCACCGCCGGAGATTCCAAGGTGTTCTATCTCAAGATGAAGGGCGACTATCACAGGTACCTGGCGGAGTTCAAGACTGGTGCCGAGAGGAAGGAAGCTGCTGAGAGCACTCTCACTGCCTACAAGGCTGCTCAGGTTTGCCTCTGTTCTGATATTTTTTCTGTAGATCGCCAAATGGAAATATTCATGGTTTCTGATGGTTGACTGCACATTTTGTGCCATCCAAGGCTTATCTGTTCATTACTCATTTGCTCAATTAATCTCCCAATTAGTAAGTCAGTTTTAATAGAAATTGCCACGCAAATTTGGTGGTTATATGTAGTGACTTATGACTTATCTAATGTGATAAATGTCTGAGGTGTATAAGTAATTATATTTTTGGTCTATTGCGCATCCTTAAATTGTATTGCCACATTTGTGTGAATGTAACTTCCAATGCCAAAAAATAGCGATTGCCGTTCTATATTATTATCATTGATGCAAATTATCAATTACTTGTGTAGATCTTGATGAAAAAACTATACTTCTTTAAATACTGAGACTAGTTCATCAAAAGTATTGGATGAATTTTGAGTACTGTGTGCTTATTACTATCTATGATGCTTACCAGCTCCCCTGTATTTATAATCCTTTAGGCATTTTTATATGTATGGTCGCTATATCTCAAAATTCTTAACTTTTGATATGGATTAATTTTAAAAGATTTGTATAGTATATTGTTAACCTTGCCTTGCAGAAAAGTTGATGACTTTTGGTTTGCACTTTTGCTTGTGTAGGACATTGCTAATGTGGATCTAGCCCCGACTCACCCAATTCGTCTTGGACTGGCCTTGAATTTCTCAGTATTCTACTATGAAATTTTGAACTCACCTGACCGTGCTTGCAATCTTGCAAAACAGGTAAATATTGTAACATACTTGAATTTGTGTAGCTGTTCAGATTTGTTTTCATTATAAGAGAACATTACAAGATTTGGAAATTCGTGAAATTTGGCAATCGTGCTGTTAGTAAATACAAGCTAAATAAAATGATATTTTTAATTTTTGTTGTTCATCTGCCATTTGATATTTGGCAATCGTGCTGTTAGTAAATGCAAGCTAAATAAAATGATATTTATAATTTTTGTTGTTCATCTGCCATTTGTGTAGGCTTTTGATGAAGCAATTGCAGAGTTGGATACCTTGGGTGAGGAGTCCTACAAAGACAGCACCTTGATTATGCAACTTCTCCGTGACAATCTTACCCTATGGACCTCTGACCTGCAGGTAAGTTTTTTTTCTAGCAATTCTCACATGGAAAATTCTTCTAAGCGATAATCACATACACTACAAACTCATATAAAAATGCATGCTATTGTGGGAACTTTAAGAACATATGAACCTTAACGGGTTTTCTAGTAGATTTGTGAGATAATTGATTGGATTCTTTTGTTATTAAGCTAAAAATCAAGGATAGAGTTTGTAATTTGTCCAATCTTTTAAATACTAGGAAAACTACAAACGTAGAACTCTCACTTGACTATTTGTCCCACTTCAGCTCATTCTTTTAGCAAATTTTAAAAATGGAGATGTTTTCTTGACAATTGGAATTGCACTTGAATTTCAACTATCTTTGTTGTTGCTTAATTTGGTTTGTATGTTATTGTTGATGCAGGATGAAGGAGCCGATGATATCAAAGAGGCTCCCAAAACTGAAGAAGGGCAACACTGAAGTTAAATCTTTATCTCCATTGGCGGATTTTTTTGGGAGAAAATTGCTTTAAATTCTATTTCTGTCTGCATTTTGTTCTAGGATTGTGCATTGTGGTTACTGAATTGTGTTTCATATTGATTCCTATTTCTGCAAATCATTAATTTAAAGTACGCCTCATTCTTTATTTTTCGAAAAGATGTTACCGCCGTTTGTTGGAGTAGGCAATATTATTTACTTACCTTCTCTAGATGAACTTCATCTCAAATATGATTGTTGACGTCCGTTCACGTTATTTTGACTACCGAAGTGATTGTGGTGCTATTTAGGATGCGATTTAGTCTCTTGGAGTGATTTATTAAAGAAATAAAAAGAGAAATAGAAACAACAATGATTGGATTGTCGATGAATTAGGATGCCTACACCGGTGATTTTATTTAATGATTTAGGCCTCTCTTAGAGCATCCACAATGCATTGAGTTTAATGTTACTTATGTGGCATGTAAATAGACTTAAGTCTTAAATGACATGGACAAACTCAAGTAAAAAAACTCAAAAGTTATTCAATGCAAAAATAAAATACTAGGTCTAGCATACATGCCAACCAATAAAAATGCTTTAATATGCTTTCTTTATTAAAATAAATATTAAATTAAGAAAAAATGATGAGTGTTTGGGTTTGTACTTGGGTTCAAAATAGACCCAAGTATGGACTTGGTCTCTTTTTTTTATTGCCACATAAACTAGACCATGTCTACTTTTAATTGCATTGGGAGACATTTTTTATAGACTAGATCTATTTCCTACATGACATGTGATTTTTTGTTAAGAGACCCAAAGCATTGTGGGTGCTCTTAGACCACTTTTTTAGAACAATGTGTCAGAAGGCTATTAAGAAAGCAACAAGAAATCAAAGTATATAGATTGCAATATCTAAAGAGTTGGATATCAATTGGATGCCCATTTGAACCCTCGAGACCTTGTTATTTACAGAAGATAAGATTTTAAAAATATAATATATTGGAGATGCATGTGGCCTCATAGAGGCCAACGACATGCACGGTGGCACGTGGCCTTGTCCAATTTGTGCAAAGGACGTATCATTCTGGGCGTGGGATTCTGTATTGGGAGGCAATCTTTCACACTAGCGCTTAGCAGAGATCGACAAGAGGAGACCTTGCTTCTGGCCATAGGAGGAGGCAACTTCGTTTGTCGGGTTACCCTACCATCGGGAGAGAGATCGTCGTATATGGAGAGATTGGCCCGATGCGTAAAGAGATAGGCTGTCAGGATGGCGTCTTTCGCTCTGGCTGATGTTCTTTTGGTCCTTGGGTTCGGGGGACATCATCAGTACAAACTTTATCGTTCACGTCAGAGCTAATTTAGTAGGCTTTATCTAGGTCAGCAGATTGTGGGTATTAGCATAAGGCCCCCAGGTTCCTAGGATCAAAAGTACTTTGGCTGGTCGCAGAAACTATTTGGATTCATTTTAGCGTTTTGGGGTGAAAGTTTATTTTGAAGTAGGCTTTGATGTTGTGAGGGATAAGGGTTCTTTATTCAAGGAGCCTTTCGGAATTTCAAGAGGGTAATCATGACGGTTTTTCCTGTATGATGGGTGTTGGCCTGTGGAATAGCGTGTCCTTCTAATTGTGACTTGCCAAGTGTTATATTTTGAACTGTTGGCGTGTGAAGGGTCGATTCTTTTATTGAAACGTCTCATATGTGCATTTAATGCGGTTGGCGCGTGGACCTAGGATATCAAATGAGGGTATTTAACTATTTTTATATAAGGGAAGACATATTTCCTTTCGTTGGTAAAATCTCTCTCTAAAATAAATTCATTCTTCTTTATTTTCTTGTTATGTTTTTATTCTTCTTTGCACTTTTGTCCTCCCAAATAGGGAGGATTTGTTCTGGTTGCCTCGTTGAAGATTTTAACGAACGATGGGGTGAACATAAATGCTCACTGATTTGCAGAAAAAAGATTGTTGAGAGCAGACAAATGATGGTCGTGGCGCGAGGGATGGTGGCCGTGTAGCGCCCTCTTACTTATCTTTTAAAAACTCTAAACTTCTAGACTTAATTTGAATTTTCAAAAATATTCTTTTCGGGCACTACAATGAAACCTCTCTTTCTAAACTTGCAGAACTACTTTACTTTAAAAACATGTCTGAACTACTTACTTATATAACCATGGGATCTCAACTGCTCAAGTTCAACTCAAAGCTCAAATAATAATAAGTCATGAAACATGGAATAATACCTCAAGTTCCGAACTCAAAACATCAAATCATCAAGCTCAATAAATAAGTCTAAAAACTAAGTCTCATGCATAAGTGCAACACCCCGCTAACTAGGGCCAAATTTTCGCAAATTTTAACTCTTTCGAAAACGCTTATAAATTTTTCGAAATCATTTGCAAACTATCTCGGGATGCTGCTAAGGACTTTTCTGCTTAAAAACCCATTTCTTTAACCTAGGTCTAACGACTGGTTTAGACTTAAAGAATTCAGGTTTATATTTTTACGAATCATGCATATTAGTCTGAACCCGTTCGTACTGGCGAACCGGGTAAAATTATTTAAGTCTGGAAATAAAGTTATGCATGTTCGAAAATAAACACAAGCATAGCGGAAGTCTGAAATACGTGGTTATAATAGTTTACACAACAGTTTAAACAAATGTCCCGGGAACAGCTTTCGTGCGGAACTCACGACCACCACCACCACAGCTCGTCTCACGCCTGCCCGCCGACCCTATCATCTGAAAATATAAAGTGGGGGTGAGTACGGTCCACTTGTACTCCATAAAAACCCATTCTAAAGTAAACAGCAATATTAATAATGATATCACAAACTGGTATATATAAGTAACTGTAACTCCCGGAACTCTCTGGTCGGTAACTCCCGGAACACTCTGGCCGGTAACCGTGTGCACACTCTGATGGTATAACTAGGGCAAACTGGGCCACCACCAGAACTTAGGGAAGGCAAACTTGGCCTTAACCCAAAGTGGATAAAACTCATATACATACCTGAACGTGATATCGACTATTAAACTCAATGTATAACCCAGACTGGGTCCCCACCTGATCGGTTTTGAAAATGAGTAAGTGCGGCTGTGCTGGTAGCTGACTCCTCAAGCTACATAAAAATATAAGCAAACAAATATACTAAGTACTATGCTCGTCATATGCTCAAAAATATGCTAGGATGCTCTACTCTATCAGATTACTCATCCGGATATAAAGGAACGCTCTAAGGGTTCACAGAAATAATTCTAAGTCCGGAAATAATACTGATATGCTTAACTGATCTGGTTTGGCTCGGAAAAATACTTAAATTTCGGAATAAGACTCGGACCGAAAATCACGAACCAAAACGGACTCGAACCGCCGGCTAAACCGGCCGGTTCGCTAACTGGCTGAACCGGGTCGGGCTGGACCGGACCCGGTTGGACCACCGGGTCACACTGGACCGGTTGGTCACGGGCTGCTCGGACTGGCCGGGCTCGATCCCGTGCCGGGCCTGCTGGGGCCATGGCACGGCGCTGGGCACTAGCTGGGTGCGACCGGGCACGGTACTAGGCGCTGCTGGGCGCGGGCTGTGCGGCTGGCACGGGCCCTGGCACGACTGGTGCCACTAGGTGCGGCTGGGCACGACCGAGAGTCACTGGGTGTGCTGGCGTGCTGCTGGGCACGGTCGAGCACGAGGGACGCGGGAACTGGCGCGTACCCGGGTTGACTGGGCACTGGGCGTGCGGCTGGCACGACCCGAGTGCGACTGGCGCGAGAACGGACGTGGCCAGACACTACTCGCGCGGCTCGGGCGCGGCTAGGGCTGTCAGGGTGCTACCGGGCGACCCTGGGCACGCGGGCATGCTGCTGGGCACGTCCCGGGCTAACTGACTACTCGGGCGTGCTGCTGGGCACGTCCCGAGGCCTCTGGACCTGACTCGGGGTCACTACAGCACGGCACTGGACACTCGGGTGCGCTGCTGGCACGACCCGAGGTCGACTCCGCGTGGTACGAGCGACTGGCTCGGGATCACGCGTGCATGACACTGGGACAGCGCTGCCGGGCGCTGTCGGAGGTGCTCTGGCGCGACTGGCGCTGAGACCTCGCGGGCTGGCACGGACAGGCGCGGCTGGGCGCTGTCACGTGCACTGGGGACTGCGGTGCCTCGCGAGCGCTAGGCGCGGGCACGGACAGGGGCACTGCCTGGCCCCTGCGACGCGGCACGGGCACGGCACGCGCGACTGGCGCGGCTGGTGACCCTAGCCGGTCCTTTGCCAAACTTCCGACAACTTTGCCGGGGATTACTGAACCAAATCAACCTAATATGACATAAAATGCTCGAAAATGCCAAAAGTCACTGAGGGACCTTGGTTGGATTTGGTGGTGGGCTTATAGGGCCGATTAGGCACGAGGCCACCCTAGGGCACAAAAATGAACATGCTCAACATGAAAATTAACCTAGGGCCGAATGATATAAATCAAAAATCATGTCTAATGAGGCTAGAACATTGGTCAATACATGCATGCACATATACTTAGGTTCGAGGGTGAAAATGGATCGATTTCACTTAACAAATTGACCGAACAAAAGAACTCAAAGCATGAAACTGTTTTAACCATGTCATACTCATGATTTTTGAGGATTTTTAAGATGCTAATCTCGGCCATATCATGCATGTACATAAACTTACGAATTTAGGGCTTAAATCTTCAAAAATCCAAATCTCCATATTCTTCTCGTGCATGGCATCATTTTTGTACATGATAAATCTTATTTTATCATAAATAAGCTAGGAAAAATGAAAGTCACGAGCTAACCTTGCTCGAGCTCGCGAATGGTGCTAATGGCCTTTGCTCGGGCTCGCAAATGGCCTAGGAGACTAGCCTCGACTTAGGGGCTTGAATGGCTGAGGAGGATAGCTTCAAGAGACTTAGAAAAATCCAAACTAAGCTTGGGTAATGATAAGCCTCGAGATAACTAGGCTGGAACAAGCTGGTCACGAGCACTCCTCTTCCCCGAAGCACACGCGCGCGTGGCTAGGCTTGCCTTGGCTTGCTCTCGGTTTTTCTCTTGTTTTCCCTCAATGTGCTAAGTGTTATGCTCGAAAATTATGAGTATCCAAGAGCTCTAACACTCAGCTGAAGGTGGCCTTATAAGGGAAATGCATGGGCGGAGAAAACAATGCTCAAAGTGGAGACACACGCACATCACATGTGCATGGGGACATGGTTTGGGGCTGTTTGCACGAACTTGGAGGGTTGGCAGGGGCATCTAGACTGACCAAGGCATTAAAATAAGATGGAGAGCAG